TTTCTTGAGGTAGCCCTGGAGAAGAAAACAGACAAACACACAGGGAACAGAGGGACACAAACGCACACACAAATCCAACAATCACGCTAACCGAGAGGGGAAACTAAAAAGTAATGAAAAAAGACTGAGGAGGGAAGGTGAATGATAGAAAATAAAAATACATAAAAAACTCAAAAAGAAGAAAAGAAAAGGAAAATAGAAGAAAACCGATAGACAAAGAACAGTTTAAAGCATATTACCAGATTTCCCAGCTACAATTAAATAGCCGAGTGTATGCAGTGCTGGTTGAAGAGCATAGAGAAAGAGAGAGATGACAGGGCGGGGATGAGGCAAAATTGGAAATAGAATGAACAGGCAGAAGGGATAAGAAGCTTTTTTCAAAGAGCTAAAGGGTGGAATATGGTTGCAGAGGTGAGAGAAAGACAGTGGTGTTAGCCAGAGAAACTATCTAGTCTGATTACTCCTGAGAGGCTTTGTTATACCGCCCTTAACAGTCCAGATGGTTGCTGCTTCTCTGCTGCCGGGGGTTGAGTGGAGGGTGGGGGGAAGTGTCGCAACCTCAGATCCGCTGGGGTCAAGCAGCAATACAACCCGAGTGGGTTCGGGGAAAGTACCAACTTCAGGTTCGCAGAGTCTGCGTCGCCTCACCGCGCCGCCGCTTCAGCAGGCCACTTTTGCTCACGTAGCCACCGCTTCACCGGGCGCCGCCACCACCGCTTCATCCGGCGCCGGGATCGCCTCCGCAGGTGTTGCTGCCTGTTCACCGGGCCGCCGCCATCATGAACGGTGCCGGGCACGCAGCAGTTCAGTTTTTCCTGGCGCCTTCTGGGACCAGGGCACCTAATTTAAAGTCAGCACCCCAGCCAGAGCTAAAAAACACTGTCTTTGCAAGCCGAGGTTTTTTGTTTTTTATCCTCTTCTCCAGGGACGGTTCTATGAGCAATCTCAGCTTTTCTTTCCTTTCCCCTGGACTCGCGGCAGCTTGCCACCACTCGCTGGTTAATCACTCACCGCAGCAGCTAGCAAGCCGGGTTCCCTCCTCTCCCTCCGTATCTCGGTCCCGTCCCCCTTTTATCTTCCCCAGTTTGCACTCACGCACTTATGAGGTTTCCTTCCCAGTGTACTCTGTCTCTTTCTCTTCCCAAATTCCTGTGGCTCAGTGTCCTACGACTTCAGGTCTTCTCTGTTTGAGAGATGAGTGAAATGTACGGACTCCCTACTTCTCCGCCATCTTGCCTCTGCTCTCCTGAGTTGTTAATTTTAGCCATTCTGACAGGTGTGAGGTGGTGTCACTTTGTGGTTGTGATTCGTATTTCCCTGATGATGAGTGATTGATGAGTGAATGATGTTGACCATCTTTTCATGTGTCTGTTGGCCATCTGGATGTCTTCTTTGGAAAGTGTCTTCTGCCCATTTCTTCACTGGATTATTTGCTTTTTCAGTGTTGAGTTTGATACTTTCCTTTTAGATTTTTCATACTAACCTTATATCCAATATGTCATTTGAAAATATCTTGTCCCATTCCATTAGTTGCCTTTTAATTTTGCTGATTGTTTCCTTCACTATGCAGTAGCTTTTTTTCTTGATGAGGTCCCAATAGTTCATTTTACCTCAGAGACGTATCTAGTAAGAAGTTGTTGTGGCCAGGGTCAAAGAGGTTGCTGCCTGTTTTCTCCTCTAGGATTTTTATGGATTCTTGTCTCACATTTAGGTCTTTCATCCATTTTGAATTTATTTTTGTGTATGGTGTAAAAAAGTGTCCCATATCACTGCATATCACTGTCCAGTTTTCCCAGCACCATTTGCTAAAAAGACTCTTTTTTTCCATTGGATATTGTTTCCTGCTTTGTCAAAGATTAGTCGGCCTACATTTGTGGGTCCATTTCTGAGTTCTCTCTTCTGTTCCACTGATCTATGTGTCTTTTTTTGTGGTGGTACCAAACGGTCTTCAGGACTACAGCTTTATAATACAGCTTGAAGTCTAGAACTATGATGCCTTCCAGCTTTGATTTTCTTTTTCCACATTTCCTTGGCTATTCAGGGTCTTTTCTGGTTCCATACAAATTTTAGAATACTTTATTCTAGTGCTGTGAAGAATACTGGTGTTATTTTGATAGGGATTGCATTGAATGTGAAGATTGCTTTGGGTAGTGTCGACATTTTAATAATATTTGCTCTTTCAATCCATGAATATGGAACGTTTTTTTCTGTGTCTTCTTCAGTTTCTTTCATATGCTTCTTTACTTTTCAGTGTACAGATCTTTTACCTATTTGGTTAGGTTTATTCCTAGGTACCTATGGTTTTTGGTGCAATTGTAAGTGGGATTGGTTCCTTGATTTCTCTTTCTGCTGCTTCATTATTGGTGTGTAGAAATGCAAATGATATCTGTATGTTGATTTCATCCTGTGAATTTGCTGAATTCCTGTATGAGCTCTAGCAATTTTTTTGGTGGAGTCTTTTGGGTTTTCCACATAGAGTATCATGTAATATGTGAAGAGTGAAAATTTGACTTCTTCCTTGCCAATTTATATGCCTTTTTTTCCTTGTACTGTCTGATTGCTGAGGCCAGGACTTCCACTACTATGTTTAACAACAGTGGTGAGAGGGGACATCCCTGTCATGTTCCTGACCATAGGGGGAAAGCTCTCAGTTTTTCCCCATTGAGGATGATATTAGCTGTGGGTCTTTTGTATATAGCCTTTATGCTGTTGAGGTATGCTCTTTCTATCCTGAATTTCTTGAGTTTTTTTTTTTTTTTTAATCAGGAAAGGATGCTGTACTTTGTCAAATGCTTTTTCTGCATCTATTGAGAGGATCATGTGGTTCTTATCCTTTCTTTTATTAATGTGATGTATCATGTTGGATGATTTGCAGAAATGGAACCAGCCCTGTAGCGCAGGAGTAAATCTACTTGATCATGGTGTGTAGTGTTTTTAATGTAGTCTTGTATTTGATCTGCTAGTATCTTGTTGAGTATTTTTGCTTCCATGTTAATCAGGGAAACTGGTCTGTAATTCTCCTTTTTAGTGATTTTTTATCTGGTTTGGGGATCAAGATAATGCTGGCCTCATAGAATGAGTTTAGAAGTTTCCTTCCACTTTTATTTTTTCAAATAGCTTGAAAAGAATAGATTTGATTCTTCTTTAAACATTTGGTAGAATTCCCCTGGGAAGCCATCTGGCCCTGGACTCTTATTGATTGGGAGTTTTTTTATTACCAATTTAGTTTCTTTACTGATTATGGGTCTGTTCAAATTTTCTATTTCTTCCTGTTTCAGTTTTCGTAGTTTATATGTTTCTAGGAATTGATCCATTTCTTCCAGCTGTCGAATTTGTTGGCATGTAATTCCTCATAATATTCTCTTAATGTTTGTATGTATGCCGTGTTGGTTATGACCTCTCCTCTTTCATTTGTGATTTTATTTATTTGGGTCCTTTCCTTTTTCTTTTTGATCAGTCTGGCTGGGGTTTATCAATTATGTTCATTCTTTCAAAGAGCCAGCTCCTAGTTTCATTGATCTGTTCTACTGGGTTTTTTTAAATTTCAAGATAATTGATTTCTGCTCTAATCTTTATTATTTTCCTTCGTGTGCTGGTTTTGGGCTTTATTTGCAGTTCTTTTTTCCAGCTCCCTTAGGTGTGAGATTACGTTGTGTATTTGAGACTTTCCTTCCTTCTTTAGGAAAGCCTGGATTGCTATATACTTCCCTCTTATGACCATCTTTCCTGCATCCCAGAAGTTTTGAACTGTTGTGTTTTCATTTTCATTGGTTTCCATATACTTTTAAATTTCCTCTTTAATCTCTTGGTTAACCTATGCGTTCTTTAATAAGACAGTCTTTCAGCTCCAAGTATTTGTAGTCTTTCCAAATTTTTTAAATGGTTGATTTCAGGTTTCATAGCATTGTGGTCTGAAAATACACATGATATGATTTCAATCTTTTCATACTTGTAGACAGCTGATTTGTGACCCATTATGTGAGAATGTACCATGTGCACTTGAGAAGAATGTATATTCTATTGCTTCAAGATAAAATGTTCTAAATATGTCTGTTAAGACCATCCGGTCCAGTGTGTCATTCAAAGCCCTTGTTTCCTTGTTAATTTTCTGTTCAGATGATCTGTCCATTGTCTAAAGTGGGGTGTTAAAGTCCTCTACTATTATGGTATTACTATCAATGAGTTTCTTTCTGTTTATGATTAATTGATTTATGTATATGGCTCCTTTCAAGTTGATGGCGTAAATATTTATAATTGTTAGATCTTATTGGTGGATAGATCACTTCATTATGACATAATGTTCTTCATCTCTTGTTACAGTCTTTGTTTTAAAATCTAGTTTGTCTGATATAAGCATTGCTACTCCACCTTTCTTTTGACATCCATTGGCATGATAGATGGTTCCCCATCCCCTCACTTTCAATCTGCAGGTGCCCTTGGGTCTAAAATGAATCTCTTTGCCATGTAATACATGGCAATGATAAAGAATGAAATCTGGCCATATGTAGCAACATGGATGGAATTAGAGGGTGCTATACTGAGAGAAATAAGTCAGGCAGAGAAGGACAAATACCATATGTTTGCACATTAGGTGGATCAGGAGGAAGTTAATGGAGGATGATGCAGGAAAAGAAGGGGAAAAATAGTTGGGGAGAGGGAGGGAGGCAAATCATGAGAGATTCTTGAATGCTAAAAAACAAACTGAGGGCTAGGGGGGTGGGAGAGAGGGGAAGGGGGGTGAATGGCATGGAGGAGGGTACTTGTGGGGATGAGCACTGGGTGTTATATGGAAACCAACTTGATAATAAACTATTTAAGGAAGAAAAAATAAAATAAAATGAATCTATTGTAGGCCTCATATAGGTGAATGTTGGTTGTTGTTGTTTTCTAATCAGTTCTGATACTGTATGTCTTTTGATTGGAGCATTTAGTCCATTTACATTGAGAGTGATTATTGAAATATATGAATTGAGTTCCATTGTTTTGCCTGTAGAGTTGGTGTTTCTGGTGATATTCTCTTTCCAGTCTTTGTTGCTTTTAAAAAAAAAAAAGTTTATTGTCAAGTTCGTTTCCATATAACACCCAGTGCTCATCCCCACAAGTGCCCTTCTCCATGCCCATCACCCCCCCTTTCCCTCCCCCTCCCCCTATCAGGCCTCGGATTGTTCTCCGCATTCAATGGTTTGCCTCCCTCCCTCTCCCCCACTATTTTTCCCCTTCTTCTCCCCCATTGACCTCCATTAAGTTCCTTCTACTCCTCCTTACGTGCAAACATATGGTATTTGTCATTCTCTGCCTGACTTATTTCACTCAGCATAACACCCTCAAGCTCCATCCATGTTGCTACTCATGGCCAGATTTCATTATCATTGCCATGTAGTATTCCATTGTATAGATAAACCACATCTTGTCTTTGTTGCTTTGGGTTTTTTGTTTTGTCTCCACTCAAAGAGTGCCCCTTAAAATTTTTTTTTTACTCCAGTTTCTTGTCAAGTTGGTTTCCATATAACACCCAGTGCTCATCCCAACAAGTGCTCTCCTCCATGCCCATCACCCATTTTCTCCTCTCCCCCACCTCCATCAACCCTCAGATTATTCTCAGTATTTAAGACTCTATTATGGTTTCCCTCCCTCCCTCTTCTTAGCTATTATTTCACCTTCCCCTCCCCCATGGTCCTCTGTTAAGTTTCTCCTGTTCCACATATGAATGAAAACATATGGTATCTGTCTTTTTCTGCCTGACTTATTTCACTTAGTATAATACCCTCGAGTTCCATCCACGTTGCTACAAATAGCCAGATTTCACTCTTTCTCATGCCATGTAATATTCCATTGTGTATACTAACCATGCCTTCTTGATTCATCTATCATTTGATGGACATTTAGGCTCTTTCAATGATTTGGATATTGTTGAAAGTGCTGCTATGAACAGTGGGGTACACGAGCCCCAATGCATCAGCACTCCTGTATCCCTTGGGTAAATTCCCAGCAGTGCTATTGCTAGATCATAGAGGAGTTCTATTGTTAATTTTTTGAGGAAACTCCACACTGTTTTCCAGAGTGGCCACATCAGGTTACATTCCGACCAACAGTGCAAGTGGATGCACGTTTCTCCACATCCTCGACAGCATATATAGTCTCGTGATTAGTTTATTTTAGTCACTCTGACTGGCATGAGGTGGTATCTCAGTGTGGTTTTGATTTGAATTCCCTTGATGAGGAGGGACGTTGAGCTTCATTTCATGGGTCTGTTGGTCATGTGGATGTCCTCTTTTTAGAAGTGTCTGTTCATGTCTTCTGCCCATTTCTTCACTAGATTGTTTGTTATAGGGGATGGAGCTTGGTGAGTTCCTTATGGATTGTGGATATTAGCCCTTCATCTGATATGTCCTTTTCAACTATCTTTTTTCATTACATTGGTTGCCTGTTAGTTTCGTTGATTATTTTCTTTGCCGTGCAGAAGCTTTTTATCTTGATGAGGACTCAATAGTTCATTTTAAGTCCAAATTCCCAGACTCTGACTCAAGAGAGTGTGGGAGGTTGTTATCTAAAAGTCCAGAACCAGAGGGAGCTTGGTTATAAATCCTAGTGTGCCTTTCACAGGCTGTGTGACTCTGCACAATTATGAAGCCTCAGTTCCCTTATCAGAAAAATGAGAGTAATGTTAGTGTGCACAGAGATGCAATGAGCATTGCTTGAGTGATCTTCCTCACCACCTGTCACAAAAATTCCCAACATGTCAGCAGTTAATTTTGAGTTAACAAATACTTACCTCATACTTGTTTTCTTTGTGCTCTGTTCTGAGTCCTTCACAGATGACACCTTCTTTAATGCTCCAAACAAACCTCTGGGGCGAGTACTATTCTTATCCCTACCTGACACAGGACGGCACCGAGACACACAGAGATGAACTATCCTTGTTCATTGTCAGCTCAGGGCCACCAGAACAAAACACTGCAGACAGGGTGGTTTCAACATTGAGACCTATTTTCTCTCCTTGTGGAGGTGGGAAGTCTGAGAGCACAGCTGGGTTCTGGAGACGGCTGTCCTGGCTTACAGGTGACTGCCTTCATTATGGGTCGTCATGGACAGTGAGCTCTGGTGTCTCTTCCTCTTGTTTTATGGGCACTAATTCCATCTTTTTAAAAATGTTTAGTTATTTATTTTTGAGAGAGAGCGAAAGCACTGAAGGGGCAGAGAGAGAGAGAGGGGGAGGACAGATACCTAAACAGGGTCCACACGATCAGGTCCACAGAGCCCAATGCTGGGCTTGAACTCACAAACCTTGAGATCAGGACCTGAGCTGAAACCAAGAGTCGGAAGCTCAACTGCCTGAGCCACTAGGTGGCCCAGACACTAATCCCATCTTAATACCTCATCAACCTAATCATCTTGAAAACGTCCTTTGTCTCATTGAGTGTTAGGGCTTTAATGTATGAATCTGGGGGGGCATAATTCAGCCCACAGCACACAGTAACACACAGTGTATAGGGACAGAGCTAAGCTTTGAGCCAAGGCTGTCCATGCTCTGCACCCCTACACTTGGATGCCTCTCGGTTGTTATTATTATTGATAACATAGTATTTTAGGGGAAGGAAATGAGATTTATCAAGGAACAAGGGGGCAAGTGAGTTCAAGGCTGAGGGAGCAGACATGAGCCTTCATGGACCTACAGGCAATCAGTGAATCTGGATCAGGAATCAGTAAGGGATTCGAAAGGAAAGATGAGTTAGGTGAGCTCAAGTGGGTCCACACTCTCAGAGTCTCCTGGGTTCTAGTGAGGAGTTTGGATTTTATCCCGAGGTATGGAGAATCTCATCACAAGATTTGTGTGGGTCACAGTCATGGCTCTTTACGCCTCCTTTCAGCAGTGATTGTGAGAGCACAAGCAGAACAGGGAAACTTCTGGCTTCAGTCAGGATGGGGCTGTGCACCACCATGGCCTCAGTGTCCTTTATCCTGTTGACTTAGCCTCGTTTTCTGCTTAGATGTGGATGAATGTGCCAGGAACTCCACTCTTTGTGGCCTCAACTCCATCTGTACCAACACCCCAGGAGAATTCCATTGCTCCTGCCTGCCTGGGTTCTTTTCACCTGTTGTCTGGACCCCTGAGAAACCAGAGGATTTCAGGTGCACAGGTAATGCTCCCAGATATACTGAGGACTTTTAATGGATGTCAACATATCCTGAGCAGAGTGACTTACAAACAACACTTAATGCTTGTTCAAAATTCTGTGCATGATTGGGTTTTTTTTTGGGGGGGGCACTAAGAAGGCACAGGGTCCAAAATGGCCTCACTTACATGCCTTGTAGTTGGTGCTGGTCTCTGGGTGGGAGCTCAGCTGGGCCCCTCGGTTTCCATATGGGGCCTTCCTCATGGTCGCTTGGGCTTCCTGGGAACATGGCAGCTGGTTTGCAGTAAGGGAAGCTGCAAGAGGAAGAAAGCAGAAACTGTGAGTCCTTGTAAGGCCTGGGCTTGAGTGCCAGAACATTCCTTCTGCCGTGTTCTCCTGGTCACAGTCATGGGGCCAGCCTGCAGGCAAAGGAAGGGGAAATTAACTCCTCAGATCGCTGGGCCACCAACAAGTACACACAGGAAATGAACGAATTGATGGCGGCCGTCTTCGGAGGATCTGACACACTGCAGAGCACATCTTATGTTCTTCAACCCCCAGCAGAAATGTGTGCTTCTTTTCATTAAAAATGTTATATATCTTTTCACCTTGACCTTCACCAGCTACTGACATTGCTAGAGGCAGAACAGTAGTGTGGCAAATAGGAAAGGACTTTAGAAATAGATTAATACAGCACTCTGGGTTCTTAGGAATCCTTTCAGAGCCCCTATATGAATCAGATTATCATCTCTCTTCTTTGTTTTACCTACTAAATAAGTTTCACTTTGCATGAAGTGAAGTGGAAGTGAAAGCTCTCTGTGGCCAAAACGTCTTGAAAACCACGCGCCTAGTCCAGTTCTATTTGCAAAATATAAATTCCACTTATGCGATTTTTAAAAATTATTTATTTCCTTATTTATTCATTCGTTCATTCATTTAAAGATTATTTATTTATTTTAGAGAAAGGTAAAAAGACAGAGAGAGATAATGAGCGTGGGAAGGGTAAAGAAAGAGGGAGAGAGAGAATCCCAAGCAGGCTCCGCCTTGGTAGGACCTGATACGGGGCTCTAACTCAGGAACTGTGAGATCATGACCTGAGCCGAAATCAAGAGTCTGATGCTTAACTGACTGAGCCCCCCAGGAGCCCTAGCATTTGTGTCATTTCTGACAAGAGTTCACGTAGCTGATGCTTAAGTGTGTCTGCAGGTGGGGCGCTCACTGTTGAATAAGAAGCCCATTCTTTGTTTTGAGATGTTTTCTGTGACACCAAGAGGAGAATATCTTTGGCTTCTACTCACTAGGTCACAGTAGTATCCACTCCCAGCCCAGTCAGGGCACCCCATGATGTTTCCAGATGTTGACCCATGTTTCCTGGTTAGGGTCGGGGTGCAAACTGCCCTCAGCTGAGAACCAGTAGTTAAACATAATAGCAATTTCTTACTTTCATAAACATCCAATATAGATATGCCTGGGCAGTGGGCAGCTTCTTTCCACACGTTATATAGGAATCCATTTCCTTACATCTGTAGGTTCTTATATACCTTATGGCTTTGGACTCCCTGGTTCAGTCAATGATGGGGAAGGAGAGAGAAGGCACACCCACTTTGGCCCAGAAGTGACAAATGGATGTGCTCACATTCCATAATTGAAAACTAGTCCCATGTCCCAAAACTATATGCAGAAGATTCTGGAAAATGTTGTCCCGATTGGGCCACCTTTTTTTTTTTTTTTAATGTTTTCTTTCTTTCTCTCTCTTTTTTTTTTTTATTTTATTTATTTATTTATTTATTATTTTTTTTTTACAAATAGTTTATT